ATTATATATATTTTGTCAATAATCAATTTGAATCATTACATATTTATATATTTTTTTTATTAATAAATCATACTTGAAAATAATTAATAATAATTTAAAATTTTAAATTATTTTGCTAATATATTTCTATGAATTTGAAGGGATTAATATTTTGACATAAGGAGAATGTATTTGAATGCTAATTCATGAGGCAGCCTTGAGTGCCATGGCTAACAAGTTGACTCAATTTAATAAATATTAATATTAAAAACATTTAAAATATATAAGAATATAATAAGTTTGGTATATTTCAAGTATTATCATTTTCAAAATAAATTCATCATTAGAAATAGTAACTTATTTTTGTAAAATAAAAAGTTTGAAATTTACAAATATTCCTTGCAAAATTTAGAAAAACGCTTCTTATCAATCATTTAATTTTATAATAAATTATATATTCATAATAAAAATTCAAAAATTATTTGATGTGTAAGATTTCATATAAATTTCAAATAACACCAATCAAAAATAAATATATCTAATAAAGTTTTGTGGCTTTTTAAAAAGGATTATTTTATAAATATAAGTAGCATTGACTCATGTATGGAATCCTATTTGTATAGACTTTTGCATACATGAAAGAGGTGGACAAGTCAACTCTTATTGTGACCGTTACCCACAATATCCATTGCGCATGCGGGGAAAGTCGTACTATGGTCGCGGGCCCAACTTCAACTTACCCTGGAACTACATACGCCCTTGCTGCGTCAAGAATAATTGGTTTTGACGGTCTCAAATTCGCACCGAGACTGTCCCAATGATGTGTCGTTTCCTTCAAGGCCGGCTATCTCTGTTTTGGATGACTAATGTCCATAGTGTTGCAACCAAGGCTTTGGTGCTACAATATCGTTGGCCAATAAATAGCAATGAGTGTGACGGGGCAACACTGGGGAGATGAACGACGGTAACATCTAACCAAAACTATCGCAACAGTTTCGCGTTGTCTCTCCGGGAGATAAACTCATTGCTAATTATATAGTTTATTTTGTAGTTTTGAATAATTGAATAAGCAGGGGAACATTATATGATGTTACATCCTATGATAAATGAATAACTGAGATATGTACTTGCATGTTAATAAGGAATAACAAATTTGCATTTAAGGAAATTATTTTAATGTAATTTTTTATATTTCCACTAAAACTTTTCTCCCGAAAAAGGAATTTTAGTGTTCCTGAGTTTGCCTTAAAACAAATCTCTCTTAATCTTCTCCTACCTTTTTAGTAAGGGTGATATACAATATTCAAAACTCAAAACTATGTCAACTAAATAATATGTAATACAAAAAATTATTGTAGTAAATTATGTGTTGAAAATAATGCTTACATCCGGTCTCGTGAGTGGCATGGGCAAAGAAAGCAGCGATCTCTCGCTTAGAGTCATCGGCGGTAGCATCCTGACCGAAGCCAGAGTACTTCTGATTAACCGCATCGATGAACGCCTGTCTGGTGTAAAATCCTTTCCCTTCGCAACCACCCGCTGCTTGGCCAATAATGCTGTCGAAGAACTGTTGTGTCACCACGTCCGCCACAGAGACTCCGCCACCACCACCGCCACCGGACGGTGGCTGATTATAACAAGGCCCCGACTGGCAGCCGTCGCCACAGTAGGGGTCTCCGGAGCCGCAGTAGCCGAACTTGCTGCAGCATAGGTCTGATGTGCACCCACAGTTCTGCGCATGGGCGAGGGCGCAGGCGGCGAGGAGAAGGGCGGAGATGAGGAGTTGCATCTTCGGCCCTGCCATCAATGAATTAAAAAGGAGCTACTAATTGATTATAGAGATGAGAGTGTGGGAAATGTGGTGGAGAAAGGTGGCTATTTAAAGCTCTGAAATGATGTTAGGTAGCAAAATGAAGAGCGAAAGTAGGATGGAAATTGAGAAGAAGACTTGGCTTTAAGAGTTGAGACTATTCAAAGGGGACAGACTAATTTTCCACCGTGCTTGACGGGAACTCCTTCATCCAGAAGTTTGTTCGGGAGTCAATTTGATCTTTCATACGCGCAATTCGACTTACAGAATGAGAAATTAAGAACCCATCAACCATTTGGCCGGAGCTTTGGCCCCGCTTCTAATATGCATTAAGGGGCTGTTTGATGAACTTCTATTAGGTCCGGTGTAGTAATATAACATACTGATTCATATACCTGTATCACCTGTTATCCGTTACCTGTATTCTAGAAGTTTGTATTAGGACTAGACTAGGACTCTATAAATATATCTCTGTACTCACACTTAAGGCAATGAAGATAATCTTTTAGTTTTCTAATTATGTTATCATGGTATCAGAGCAGGTCTCTTGTACCTGACACCTTTTCTTTTCACGTTTCTCCTCTGTTCTGTTCCGGTATTCGTTTTCGGTCATCTTCTTTCTTCTTCCCGACGACAATCGTCCCAGTTCCGACATGGATTCTTCTTCGACTTCTCATACCGAAGAAAGTCAAGAAAAGCTTCTTGAAGACGCCCTCATCATCCATGCCTCCCTCAAATTCGTTATCTCCAACATCAAAATCATTGTTCCCGTGCAACTATCATCGGACAACTACCCAGTTTGGCGATCGCAGGTTCTGAAATTACTAATAGCAAACAGATTTGCTTCCTATCTCTCTTCATCGGTTTCCCCTCCGGCGACGCACAAAACGCTTCAAGATGGTAGCAAAGAACTCAATCCAAGACATCAAGAATGGGTTCTTGTGGATCAAAATCTGGCAGCGGCGTTGTGTTCCACTGTGTCTCCTGCCATTCTTTCTTATGTTATTCATTTAAACTCCACATCTACTATATGGCAGACACTTGAAAAACGCCTCCAGTCATCAAATCGATCCCGCGTTATTCAGCTCAAAAATGAGCTGCATAACGTCCAGATGAAGTCTCAAAGCATGACACAGTATCTGCAACAAATCAAGAACATTGTTGATAACATAAGCTCAGCCGGATCGGAGATTGATCAAGAAGACGTTCTCCTATATACGATGAATGGCTTGCCACCATCGTATAATGCTCTCAAGACCACCATTCGGGCAATGCAATCCCCTATGGACCTCGACACACTATATTCGTTACTCATAACAGAAGAAATAAATCTCCAATCGGAATCAGCTCGTCACAATCTGCTCGGAGACTCATCTACTGCCCTTTACTCCAGTCGGGGCCGTGGTCGGCGTGGACGTGCAAGAACTTCGACACAACCATCCAGATCCACAAATCAAAACGTTCCTCACTGCCAGATATGCAACAAGCGGGGACATCTTGCACACAATTGTTGGCATAGATTAAACATCTCTGTCAATCCTCCTGACCCGATTACTACAAATCCATCTAACAGAGCGATGGTCGCTGCTACAGACAATGAAAACCCAGACTGGTATCTTGATTCGGGCGCGTCAGCACATCTCACAAACTCGGTGGACAATCTCTCGCAGGCTCAATCTTACACTGGGACTGACTCAATTACCATAGGTGATGGCAGATCTCTATCCATTGCCCACTCCGGCAACGGTATTCTGCCAACACCGTATCGTAAGCTACACCTTAAGAATTTATTTCATGTTCCGCATTTATCACATAATTTTCTTTCTATCTCTAACTTGACTCAAGATAATAATGTATCTGTGAACTTTAATCCCTCTGGTTTTGCCATTAAGGATTTGAAGACAAACAGAACCTTGCTCACGGGACCAAATCGCAGAGGACTCTATCCAATTCAATCGGCCAACAAGAATAGCTCCGGCACCACAACATTAACCGCTCGTTCCAACATTGCAACTCTATGGCATCAACGTTTGGGACACCCTCATTCAAGAATTATTCATGCTGTATCTGCCTCCGACAAAAGTCTTAACATCCCGCACATTTTTTCTTTTTGTTCTGCTTGTACGACCTCCAAAGGTCATAGGTTACCTTTCTCAAATAAAAATCATCGTACTTCTATACCTCTTGCGATTGTGCACACTGATGTTTGGGGTCCAACCCCAGTACCTTCGCATCAAGGTTTTTTGTACTACGTAGTTTTTATTGACGATTTCTCTAGATTTACGTGGGTTTTTCCCATGCGACACAAATCAGAAGTCTTTGAAATTTTTCAAAAATTTAAAAACTATGTTGAAAAGCAAACGCAATTTTCAATTAAATGTTTAAGATCTGATGGAGGTATGGAGTATTTAAATAACAATTTCAGGAATTTTCTCAGTCATCACGGCATTGCACATCAAACTTCCTGTCCTTACACACCTGAACAGAATGGGCTGGCCGAGCGCAAACATAGACATCTTCTTGAAACAACACGAACCTTGATTACCACTGCATCGCTTCCTCAATCACTCTGGCCGGATGTCGTGCTCACGGCTTCGTTTATTATCAACAGGCTTCCTACTGCTATCACGGGTTACAGGTCTCCTCTATCTCTTTTATTTCACACTCAACCTGATTATCATTTATTTAAGGTATTTGGGTGTGCCTGCTACCCGTGGATTCAACCAACTCAAAGAAACAAACTGGAGCCACGATCTCGCAGCTGTGTGTTTACTGGTTACTCACCCGTCTCGAAAGGCTATAAGTGCCTTGACATCAAAACATACAAGGTCTACACATCCCGACATGTCATATTCGATGAACTTGATTTCCCCTTCAAACAAACATCTTGTTCGCCTTCTCCACCTTCACCTCAGCTTCCTCCATCACTTATTGTACCAACCACTCATACAAATCCTACCAGCTCTAAATTTCCTATTACTCCATCCAGACCCACATCTACCAAACCTACTCAGCCGACTGCTACTTCTCCGCAACATTCTTCCTCTCAGCATAGCCGAAATATAACTTCCTCTTCCAAACAGCTACCGAATCAGTTACTCACTTCTATACCACCTACTGCTCCCTGTTCCAATCATCCTATGATTACCAGGCATAAGACAGACTCTTTAAAATCAATCCAACGGCTTAATCTGATTCATATGCAAAATTGTTCTCAGTCAGAACAGATATCTGAACCTACTTCGTATACTGATGCCGTGAAATATCCTCACTAGAGAAAGGCTATGGCAGAGGAATTCTATGCGCTCCAAAAACAGGGTACATGGGATCTGGTTCCTACTCCTCATTAAAGCCCGATACTAGGCAGTCGCTGGACTTTTCGAATTAAGCACAAATCAGATGGCTCAATAGCTCGTTTTAAAGCTCGTCTAGTTGCTCAAGGCAACACTCAGCAATACGGTTTAAACTACCTTGAAACCTTTAGTCCAGTCGCTAAGTTTCAAACTATAAGAATATTATTAACTATTATTGTTACTAACATGTGGCCAGTGCATCAGCTTGATGTAACAAATGCATTTCTTCATGGGAGCATTGACGAGACCATTTACATGCGGCAACCTATCGGCTTTGAGGATACTCATCACCCTGACTACGTTTGTAAGCTAAAGAAAGCAATTTATGGCCTTAAACAGGCCCCTCGTCAGTTGTTCCAAACATTTTCTAACTTTCTTAAAACTCTTGGTTTCTCTCCGGCCAAAGCCGACTCTTCTCTATTTACACTGCATACTAACACCAGTCGGTTATACCTGGTTATATATGTTGATGACATCTTAATAACTGGAAATGATTCTTCCTTACTTGACATGATTATCTTGCAGCTAAACCAAAAATTTGATATGAAAATTCTCGGGCCAGCACACAGTTTTTTGGGAATCAAGATCTCCAAAGATCAAAATTCCTATCTGTTATCTCAAACACAATACGTGGAGTCTATTCTAACCTCCGCTAACATGAGCACGTGCAAGCCCTTGGCAAATCCAGCGACCGCAAAACCTGTCAACAACAACAAAGCTCACGGCATTCCTCCTGATCCAAAACTTTACCGGCAATTGACGGGGTCCTTACAGTATCTGACTATAACAAGACCAGATATAGCATTTGCGGTCAATCAACTATGTCAGCATATGCACAATCCAGAATCGGAACACTTCGTACTTCTCCACAGGTTACTTCGTTACATTAAGGGTACAATCTCATTTGGTTTACCTATTTTGCAGGGCAGCATGGAATTACATTCATATTCAGACGTAGATTGGGCCGGCGACAAAGAAACCAGACGTTCTACCTCTGGCTATTGCTCCTTCCTTGGCAACACTCTTATTTCATGGAGCGTTAAAAAGCAGCATACGGTTGCTCGATCGTCTACGGAATCCGAATACCGAGCTCTTGCCTCTGCTCTTGTCGATATCCTATGGCTTTGACGGCTTCTAACAGATTTTGGCATCTCCGAGTTACAGCCCACAAAGATATATTGCGACAGTACCTCGGCGATTGCACTCGCCAATAATCCCGTCTTTCATGCGAGAACCAAGCACATTGAAATCGACCACCACTTCATCCGGGATCACATACAAGCCAACACTGTACAGATTTTTCCTATCTCTACTAAAGATCAAATCGCAGATATTTTTACAAAATCTATATCTACTCCATGTTTTCAGCAACTCCGCAACAAGCTGTCCGTCCAGAGCTCCCCGTCAGCTTGAGGGGGCATAATATAACATACTGATTCATATACCTGTATCACCTGTTATCTGTTACCTGTATTCTAGAAGCTTGTATTAGGACTAGACTAGGACTCTATAAATATATCTCTGTACTCACACTTAAGGCAATGAAGATAATCTTTTAGTTTTCTAATTACGTTATCAGTAAGGACGTAGAGGAATGTCCGGTCGGAGGAAAAATCCCGCGAAAAAACTCGGTATTTGCTCGGTATTGCTAGGTATTATTTGATAATAACGAGGAATACCGCTCTGTGAAGACCAATACCAAGTTATACCGAGTTGTACCGAGCAATACCGAGTTGTACCGAGTTTTTTCTAGGAAAAATTCGGTATAACTTTTGTATAACTCGGTATTGCTCGGTATAGCTCGGTATAACTCGGTATTGGGCCTTCACGTGATGGTATTCTTCATTATTGTTTGGTATTGCTCGGCATTTGCTCGGTATTTCTTGTTTTTTGGCTCGATTTGGCCTCCGACCGGACGTTCCTCTAGGTCCGGTCGGAGGACGTAATAATTGTTCCTGTTTGATAGCCCAGAGGATTTGATTTAAGTATGATTTCATAAATCCGCTAAATTCAGATTTCGTAAATTTTGAAAATTTTTTGATAACATTCATGATAAATTTTTGTGTGACAGTTTGGCTATAGAGCGGACTTAACGAGCGGACTCTTCCTCTAGAGTCAATGGATTTTGTAAATCCGGAAATAAAAAAGATAAAAAAGATTTTGAAAGACCGGGATTTAGTAGGAAAAGGCGGAATTTTCTGTCTATAGCGGCTTTCAATTGCCGTGAGATTTGGTTTTGCATTTTAGGTTGTTTGTGTGGTTATCGCTCAAATCTGCCTCAAATCCGGCCTAAATCCTGCTACCCAACAGACCCTAAGAGTCTGTTGGCGACAGTTTCTTCAATTTTTTTTTCTTTTTTTACAGATTATATTTTTACTTACTTTCAAAGTTTTTTTTTTTCCAGATTTTGATATTTTTATAATCAGATTTCTTATGTGTCAAGTGCTTTGATTTTTCAAAATAAAATTTATAATTCTCACAATAATTTTTTTAAAAAAAAACCTGCTCCCAGCCGCCCACATGCACGTTTGAGTGCTTTAGTCATTGAGGGATTCCAAGGCCTTGCTTCGCCAAACAGAAAAACTAAGGAAACAAGAGAAGATTATATATATAGCAGGAGAAAATATTACGTGCGGAGTTTGGATACAGCTCGTGGTTAGACTTCAATAAAAGACGATCATATTATCAATACACACTGTGTGCAACTTTATACATAGTGTATGTATTAATACACATACTGCATACAATGATGTGATCCTTTCTTATTGAAGTTCGGACGAATTCGTCCGGATTCTGCACGTAATAATTTCTCGTAGAACGGAGAAGAAATATAATGAAGTTGACTTG